CGAGAACACCGACTTACTTGTCAATCGAAATGTTTTCGTTTTCAATAACCGCTGGGTCACTTTCTTCACTATCGGAAGCGAATTATAATCACGAGGAACTTGATTTAAATCATATCAAAGACGAGATAAAATACTACACTTAGTAAGGAATTATAAGCCAAATAAAATAAAAACATCTGCCCTGAAGATAAGGATAGTGCTGACAGATCAACTTCCAATCCGCCGCGTGAAATTGATAAACAGATTTCGGATTTCAAAACATACTTTCGCTTTGTAGATACAAATTACATATTAGTAAATATATATCGGAAATTCTATTTGACATAATCGAAAGTTCAAGCTTACTTTTATGAAATTGCTCTAACAGTCTGCAAAAAATAATAAGCCGGATCTAATTCGAAGATTAAGGAACAACGCAATCTGCAACATTAACTGAATTAGATAATTTTAGCTCAGCTTATACCTCCGTTACACATTAAATGCGCATGCGCACAAACATATTAGCAGCCGTAAAGGTCTTACGCGCTCTCGTAAACGCCTGTGCGCATGCGTGAATGCGACGCATGCGCAGAAAGTTTGTAGCTTTGAGGTCCGGATTATGGGTGTCCGAATTAACGACTTTTGACTGTGTCTATCTCTGGAGAGAATAAGGAATATATATAATAGTACAAATATTACTATAATAAGAATACTAAAATATGCTATATAACAGTACAAATATTACTATAATAAGAATACTAAAATATGCTATATAATAGTACAAATATCACTATAATAAGAATACTAAAATATGCTATAAAACAATACTACTAATAAAAATAAAATAATACTAATACAAAGGAAATGTGATGCAACTTTAATACAGTACATTAATATATAACATAACCATACATAGATAAAATGCAATATTATATGAAAATAATAATAATAGAAACAACAATTGAAGTTGCACAAAACAGCAAAAGCTTTGGAACTTCTAACAAGATGAGAGGAAACATGGCTCCTCCCTAATCTCCCAAAAATGTAGATACTTGTGCTATTAACTGGGGCCAGGTGATAAATTACTAAATAACCATATTTTTATTTCTTTAGTTTATATTTTCCAAGTTTATGAAAAAGTTAATTTCAAGTAAAATGAGTTACTTATTTTATTTTCGGAATTGTTTCTAATTGCTAATGTTTTTTCTTCCACTTTCGAACTTCTTTTACATTTATGGACAAATGCTGTGTAATTACAGTGTTGTTAGAATTTTCAGCAAAAGTGGTCACCTATAGTTTGAAATTTGCCATATAAGAATTTTTCTTCCTGCTCATCTTTTAAACAACATAAAATGATGCAGAAAATAAGACTAATACGAGTACCACAGGTTATATACAAGACAGCAAATGAATGAAAAATATGTGCTAACTTCAAAGGGTTAAAACTGTCATTGTTGGTGTCTGGTATTTTACCTTACAGCGATTTGATTGGAAAACATTCTACCCATATTACGTGCTTGGCAGCATTTTTGTCCACATGGCGACATGTTTGAATGTTACTAGAATTTTCATTTCAACTTATTCTTGGTAAGAAATACCCATATGTAACATGCATTGATTGTTTTATGTTCGGAAATATACGGTAATCATTGTGATAAATATTTAAATGGGTAATATAAGGAAAGACCAGGAAAAAAAAAGTTGCTACTTTTTTATGTGCAAGAAGATAAAGGAAATATCCTGTTATCTACATTATTTATGTTGATTTTGCTGATGTATAGTAGCAAATAGAATAGGCTGCATTAACCCTTTTGAGACAAAATGCCTTTGTTTAAGGCATTCCCTTGGGGCGGATAGTAGTTGGAAGAAGTTACTTCCACAGGATGGGGATTTTTGTGTTCACTAAGCCTAACTTTAGGGGGGATATGTGCTAACGTCATATTTTTACTTCCTTGTACGAAGTAAAAAGGAAGTATTGTAATCGTGAAAAGTTTCAGCCAGCATATTTCAACGAAAATATCCATTTTGACCGCTTTTGAATGCAATTTAACAATGTTTTTGCGTGATATCTGTACATAAGGACAGAATAAAAGACTCGTTTCCTAAAAAAAAAAAAAAAAAAAAAAAAAAAAAATTATAAAACTGCTTTATAATTAATTCTGAAGAGAATTTTTCGTCGCGTCTGTATGAACGTACGTACTTACGTATCTCGCATAACTCAAAAACGAGTAGCCTCAGAACGTTGAAATTTTGTATATAAGACTGCTGTAACATGTAGATGTGCACCTCGTATTTTGGTTGCAATCGGCCGCACCAAACGCATATAAATATATTTATATGTATATCCACTCTGTTACTCGGCACAGTGATCTCAGTTTCTTCACTCTTATATGTTCGTAAATTGTACATTTTTTGCTTTAAAAATGATTAAATTATATTGTTGGCACAGTGATCTCAGTTTCTTTACTCTTATAAGTTCGTAAATTGTACATTTTTTGCTTTGAAAATGATTAAATTATATTGTTGGCACAGTAATCTCAGTTTCTTTACTCTTATATGTTCGTAAATTGTACATTTTTTGCTTTAAAAATGATTACCGTAATTTCCGGAAGAAAGGCCACATCAGCGTAAACGCCGCACTTGAGAAAAATGGCGGGAAAAAATTTTAAATTACACAGAAATGCCACATCAGCGTAAACGCCGCAATAGATTAAATTGCGCGTGACATCGTTGTGGGCTGTATAGATGCAAAAACTCAACCTAAGTCCTGATATATGACATACCAGTTAAGAAAAATGCATGAAATGAAACCATAACTCAAAAATAAATTAAAGGTAAGAAATGTATAGCTTCTGTGCCGTTTAGAGACATTTTCAAAAATTTCCGCTCCCTTCTTACTTAAAAAACTATCCAACAAGTACTTGTACTCAAACTGATGGGATCTGTATTTGGCAGAATGCCAAGAAAAATCCATTCATGCTGAAGGGGAAATACGTCAGAGTTCGTTATTGCGAGGCAGGTGGAATCGTGTCCGCTTTTGAAAAAAATTGCAGAAAAGGTAGCGGTGGGGAGAGGATGGGTCCTGGAAGATTCATCGAATGGCAGAGGAGAGAGACTATTCAAACTGATGAGAATGTTGATTTGAAAGGGGGAAGAATGTTATTGTTCTGAGATCTCGTTTAGGGTGAATAAGGCATGTAGGTCTGTTCAAGGGAAAGAATGTAAACAAAATAAGGTTCGCAAAAAGCAGCTGAGTGGTCTTTTGTGTGTGAACAGCACCAGTGTATGCACAATGACAAGGCCAACCAAACAATGTACAATGACAATCATAGGAAATATTTTATTTTTAGTGCACCTAAACGCCGCATGGGTAGAAACGCTGCACCCGCTGAAAATTTAAGTTTTAAACACGTAAACGCCGCAGCGTTTCTTCCGGAAATTATGGTAAATTATATTGTTCTTATCTTCCGGTTAAGGTTTTTATGCCTTTCGTAATTCTGGAAGCAATATTTGTATAATTATCAACAATTTAAAAGCTGTTTAAGTGCTTTTAAATTTTAAATAACATGGCGGACAGATTTGTTGCCAATCTAGAGAGACTAAGCTTCGCAACAACAAAAATAACACCTTCATTTATTCTTGTGAATTAAATCAGGCTTAATCCTTTCTGGAATTTTTTCGAGGAAATAAGTGTTTAAGATTTACTTCGTAATTTTTAATACAGATATTTTGAGTTTTTATGTATTTTTGCCTTATCGTGAAGTGAGAACTGAGTCAATTGAATGAGAAATACTAAATCGTCTGTGAAAAACTTTTTTTTTTTTTTTTGCTTAATTTCTTTCATACATCGTTCTAGCTTTATTATAGTATTTGAATAGAACATGTGTCAACGATAAGATAATTCTTCAAATGATATAAATTTTGTGCATTCAGAGTGTCATTATAGTAAACAAATATAGTGAATTTTAAAGAGTGCATTTATTCTATTGTGGTTTATGCGCTGTCGACAAAGTAGATTTAATTCAATCCAATCAATTTAAACAAAATTCAAGAAATAAATGCATATAATTTAATATTCCGTACAAGGAAGTCATGTGGTGTACACATCAGATTTTTTGGTGCTATTTTTAGAGTATTACTTAAGTTATTAATTATTAGCGTTTAATAAACTTTTCTCTTTACATGAAAATATATTTAAAAAAATGCTTACTTTGAGAAATAATTTTAGAAGTGCTTTTAAAATTATTCTGAAATTTTAATTGATCAAATACATTAATAAACTTTGAAATTAATAAAAAATACACGAAAGACTATTCACAAGAAGTAAAATCTTTCACTTGAAGGCAAGACACTCAATGACAAACTCTCTTTCACACAAAAACTCTGACAAAATGTCCATGTGAGCCTCACTAGAAATGTCACTCTGTAACTTTTTAGAAAATGAATCATCACAAAGACCCTACAAAGTAGCAAAGAAAAGAATTCGAAGGGATGTAGAAACACGAATGTTTATATCACGCGAGAAGTTAAAGAGATGAGCTCTGTCTGTTTACATATTCTCCCACAAAAGCTGACACCAATGTTACGCAGAATGTGATCAGTTTGAAGCTTAGGATATTCACTTGGAAAATATCCTGCATCACATACTTTACTATTATTCCTTTTTAACATAATGGAATTAAAACTCAAAAATACATAAAAATAGCAATTGAAAATTTGAGACGCTTTTGTATAAAACGCGTCTCAATGAAATTATGTTATAAGAATCAGTAGTACTTAAACATGAATGACTAAAATAATGTTAAAATAATTTTGTACTAATTGAATCTGTGTTTAGTAACTTTCATTTTCCATTTTTTTCCTTAATTTTTTTTTTTTTTTTTTTTTTTTTTTTTTTTTTTTTTTGTCCTTGAAATTAAAATGTAAGCTGTTTTCAAAGCTGTCATTTTTTACTTTTATGTTCTTTCATATTTATATGATTTCTTTATGATATTAATATAACAAAAGAATGTTATTTTTAGGTCTCTAGAATATACCATCTATGACCATGAGTTAAAGGATGCTAGGAAGAAGTTAGAGGAAGTAAGTTTATTAATATAAAATATGAATGAAAGGTTTTAGGTTATAGTATGTTAACAAAATGCTAAATGATTTTATGATGCATAAGAGCGAGGAATATGATAAATTGCCAAATTGGTTGGTGGCAAAATTCATCCTTGTAGAATAAACCAGTTCTTGTTTACTGTTCAAAATAAACTGAATCTCTGTAAAAGATTTTTTTTTTTTTTTCTGTTTCAGCAGGGTACTAAATTGCTAACTTTTGCCGTGTTGCTAGTATCAGTATTATCAAGATCATAAATTATGATTGATAATTTTTACTTGTGCCAGGTAATGTTTTAAGTTATAAAGTTCTAGCTAAATTTGCTGCCTTTGGCAACTAGAACCTTGGAGAAGAGTATAGCGACTATTTGCTGGTCTTCATACAGCTACAGAAACCGCTTCCAAGGAAGGGTTAAAATTACCCTTTTATTCACTCAAAGAAATATTTGACAGTTGGCCACGCTCGGATTTACAGGAAAGCCTCCACTTGGACTTGAGATAGAAAATAAGAAACTAACTGAATTTTAACTACCTAAAACTTAGTCAAAGCTGTACAGAAATAACTAACCGAGTTGGCCCGTAATGAAATCGCACCAGCGAATACTAACAGGTACGTAAGACTAAGCCTGACGTAGTAAGATAAGCTTAAAGCAATGACGTGGCCCAAAGGCAGAACATGCTCTACTGAGAACTTCTGTACTCTTCTGTGGAACTGACTGAACTTCCCATTAGGTACTTGTTCTACTTCATTAACATAAAACACAACACTGAAAACTCGTTTTGGGAGGGAGTTGTAGGTGGGAAACAAGAACTTAAAAGAAAGGTTTTCAAAATTAAATATAACTATTATAAAATTAAAATAATCCCTACAAAGTTACTGGATTTAGTAATTATAATTTAGGTTCTGAAATTCGTTTTATTTAAGAAATTAGAAGATTTTTCAAATACCTTTTGCATTTTATCATCATACACTTCTTAAATTTTATTATATTGCTTTTAAATTTCGATCACCTGGTAATTGAGTTGCTTATTTAGGGAAATACTGGTAATTCATTAAGAATTCTTTTTACGGTTGTTAAATAAGCTAGTTGTTTAAGTTTTTTTTTTTTTTTTTTTTTTTTTTTTTGCGGTTTTCAACTTTTGTAATTTAAGTAAGGGTTAATTTCCAAGTTCATATTTGTAAGCATATTTGTTGTGATCATAAATAAATGTTTGTGAATTTTTTTTTCCATTGGACTTGTGCATTCATTTCGTAACGAACCCGTACGCATGCAACAATATATATATATATATATATATAAATCTAATACATATTCCTAAGTTGTGCTTTCAAGACACGAAAAATGCAAGTTGAATTTCGTTATTTGGCCCAGTAAAACAGATATAGAACTGTCCCACTCTTTTTTTTTTTTTTTTTTTTATTTATTGCACAGTGTTATGGTTTTTCCGGGAGACTCCAGATTTTTCATCTCATCCCCGGTCTTCCAGTAATCTAATCTCCTAATAGTTAATTCATCTGAATTTAGATATCTTTCAAATGTAACTCTTGAAGAATTGTTAATCACAAAATATTAATTGTATAATATATTTTTAAGTATTAAAGATATGCTATGAACAAAATATCAAAAACTAGTTCTTAAAAAAGGAAAAGTTAATCTTTTTGTCACATTTTCATCTTTTATAAAACTTAAAATTGTCATTTCTGAATGATTTTTCAGTATAGTTTTTCTGACTATTTTTGCTTCATCTACACTCATCTACTAAGATGATCTGTTTTTAATTCAATTTAGAAATTTGTAATGTTTTTTCTGAAGATTTAAGTAACATATAATGGTAAATATTAGTATTTTAATTTTTCTCCAAATATTTCAATTGATACACTACTGAATTGTACATGATTTTAAGTAAATTACTTATTAAATATTACGTTAATATATTTTGAGAATTTTATTATCAATTTAATAAACTTCATATTATGGAAAAATCCTTCCATTTTTCACATTTTAGTGTTGACAACGTTATATGTACTATAATTTGTGAAAGATAGGGTGCAGCATTTAATTGTTTAAAATGCTGAGCTTCGAGGCACTTAAAGTGTCATAAGATGTCGTTGTGAATAGCTTGCATCACCTTGATGCTATCTCCATACAGAAAACTACCGAGTTGCTTTCTGTGAATTTTATTGATTTTATATGCTTTCCCTTGAAAAGACCCTCTATGTGCTTTATTCACCCTAAAACAGATCTTGGAACAATTACATTCTTCCTTTGTTCAATTCAGCATTCATGTAAGTTTAAATAACCTGTGTTCTCTGTTCCTTGATGAATCTTCAAGGATCCCTCCACTTTCTGCTGTAAATTTACTATGGTTCTTTCCAAATGTGACACAACTCCATTTGCATTGCTATAACAAACTCCAATGTATTTTTTTCTCCCCTCTTTCAGCCTGAATTAGCACTTTTTTACATTCTGCCAGCTACAGATCCAAAGTGGGAAATCCAAAAATTACAGCTTCTTCAAAAATTACTTCTTTACAGAACAGATTAATTTTCATATATAAAACATTGAATTAAAGCTTGTATATTTTTTAAAGGATCTTTTGTAAGTATGCTCAAAATTTCTGTATGCAATGAAAGTTTGAGTCTAAATTTTAGATAATCATTTTAAACTTAGTAAGTTAACATGTAGAAATTATAAAATGAAAAATATTCATTAAAAATATTTATGATATTACAAATATTTATTGATTTAAAATGTAACTTGAAGCCAAAATGGCAATATTTTCTACATTTAAAAAAACTATACTATAGATATTCGCTGTTCTGTGGATTAATTGGTGATTGAAATATTGTCATTGCAGTATAAGACTTCATTTATATCTTCTTCATTTTAGTATTCTCAATTATCCCATTAACTGGAAAATTTGCTTTTTACCTGTGATAGTCAAAAATCTTCATATTCACGGCTTTAATCACCATCATCATCACATAATTTGGCAGCTGGATATGTACTATGCTAAGCATTTTTTAAAATATCTGCAAACATGTTCTGTTATTATCTAGCAATATCCCACACAGCAGATATTATGATAAGATATTTCTGGAATTCTCGGATAATTTTGCTGCTGCGTCTGTTTTTAAAAAGCTACTTTGCATCTGCATTTCAGTGTGCGCCATATTCTGATACCCATTGGCTTATTGATGGGTATATAGTTTTGGAGAAAGGGTAAAATGGGGACATTGTTGTCTACTAAAACTGCAATTTGATAAGATTAACAACAATAGATGGAACAAAATAAAATAAATTGCTTCAAATCAGAAAGTTAATACATTCGAACCCAGTCCCATCTGTATGGCAGTCAAAATCACTATCCCGGTTGTATGGCAGATTAAAGTGTGATTGTAACTAATGTCAATACATCATTCGATTTATTGTCATAGTGTGATTCATTACTGAGCTGGTGATTGAAAATGATGGCTAATCTTTAGAATATGGTAACAGGTAGGTTGGTGACATTTTGGTAAGGCGATAAAGGTTACTGGCTAGGACTTTAACAATAATCTGAGAAGTACACAGTTTGAATCACAGATTATTTTGTCTCAGAGAAATGAGAGATCATGAGACATGTAATGTAACATTTTTTGGAAAATTCCAATCGTGATTTTAGCTAATAAGCACTTAGTCAAATTTCGCTGCTAAAGTGCAGAATCGCCCACTTATTTGTTTTTTCGCTTTTTACAAACTAGCAGGTTGCTGTCTGTAGCAGAGTTGGTCGCCAATGTTTCGTCAAAAATTCGCCAAGTTACCATAATCTAAAAGATTCACCAAAATGACATATAGGGAGGAGAATTGCTTTTGTAATATGCTGTGCTTTTTCTTGTGTATTAAATTCTCCATTATTTATTTATTTATTTTTTGGCTGGTAGTCTAGATCATTCCGGATATTGGATATCCAGAATTTAGACTTTGTACTGTATCAGTTATATGTTCAGAAGTTTTGAGTAGTATGTATATTGTATTAAACATTAACATTGCATTGTTCAATTAACGTTTCTTTTTTTTTAATTATACAGCTTGATACTAGGAGAGAGACTAGTAGTTCAGTCACAGAGAAGCTTAGAGAAAGTGCACAGCAAGCTGCAGACCAAATAAAGGTAACAAACTATTCATGGTGGTGGGGGAAACACCCTCCTTTAGTATAATTAAAATGTATGTATGATTTTATTAATATTTATATCACCTGTGTTATGTAGCCTGAAATCAGTCCTAGTACTGAAATTCATTACAGCAGTTGAAATCAGTTTCTGTAGACCATTTTTAGTTGAATTGACATTCTTAGCCACAGCTCACATACTCAAATTGGGTTTATTTCAAAACTTTTACATTTTTAATAGTTTTGTGGTAAGAAGAGAAGCAGGAAGCAGCCATTTAGTTAGGCTGAGATGCTGAAAGCAAGTGTGTGTAATTATTCAGTATGGAAGTTTAATCTAAGAGAAAGGTTTCAGTTCTAGAAATTTTGGGTTTAATTTCTGAATTAGTTACATTATTCTTGTGTAAATGATGGAAAGAGCAAGTACGCAAATTAAACTGAAGGGGCTACAGCAATATTAAATTAGAAGTTTGTTTTCAAATGTTTTTTATCTTATATATACACACACATGCACACACATATGTAAGATAAAAAATACGACGGAATTAACAAATTAAACTTAATTGGAACAAAGTAACAATATACCTTTAAATTTCTAATTTTAAATTTAAGCTTCCTTCCAAGGCATCAATAAAGCCTCCTTCAAGGCATCTGCATTTTCCCTACAGCAACTGCATTGCTGTAGACTTTTGCCCAATTGCTGCTTAGAATAAAAACAAAGTGTTCCGAGATTATAAATAGTGCTATCTACTTACTGCATTGCTCTTTTGCTGCTGTTCTGCCTAAGAAACTCATGTCTCTTTGCTAAGCTTCTTTTTCTATTATCTAAAATGTAAGTCGTGTATATAGATATTGTGGGGTGCCCTTTAGAATACCTAGTGTTACACCAATTAAGCAAAACTGTAGTTCAGAAGAATTGTACCTGTTCATTGTTTCACCTGCTCCTGTTTTATGGCTATACTGTACTCGGCATTTTTATCCATGACATCAGGTATTACTGGAAAAATGCAAGCAATTAGCATTGTTAAAAAATTTTGTCTATAAGCAGATATTATTTAGAGCAGGAGTTCCTAGTGAAGTCGGAACTGACACCCAGGTGTTGATGAAATGTTAAAGGGGATCAATTATGATCAAGGGGTCTGTTCAATGATCTAGTTTAATCATACTTGTAAACAAAATTCATGAGATCTACACACAAATGTTGTGGATTGTTTGTTTCATCCTTAAAGTTACTTCTCTTAACAGAAATCTGACACACAAAATGAGAACCTATACATATTCTACTCAGATGGAGACTCTTCCTATCCACCTCTTAAAGCACATATTGCATTAATCAACTTAACTGCTTTTGAATAACACAACTAGAGCACAAAACAATGGCAGCGACTTACAGCTTTTTTTCTCCTATTAGAAGCTGCCAATCTCTTCAAGTTGAACAATACTCAAACATTAGATCTTGGCATCACATCACAATTTCGCACACTGGATATAAACATTTTTTCTTTTTCCATACAGTGTTGCCGTTGCTCGCTTTGAAATCGTGAAGTTTGTTAATAAAAAATTCAATAAAGTGCTACAATATATGAAATTGCTAATTAAATAAATTTCAAATTCGGGCTTCGAGATGCCCATATTCGGTGGAGGATTATGTTATTCAAATTTGATGGCTCTACGTACCATTGTTTTATCACAATACGAGAAACATGCATACATTTATGCAGATTCTTCATTTTTTAATTTCTTTAAATATAACACATGGCGATAATATTTGGTGGCATTAATTTGAAAAGTGAAATGGACATTTAAAGTTTTGGTTCTTAAAATCAGTTGGTTAATTTTGGCTAAAGTTTGCAAATTGTCCTAAATTTTTTTACCCATCAGGTATTTCTTTTTTTTTTTTTTTTTTTACAACTGCCACTTTGTGAATTAGCATTTTGAAGGAATAGTTATGGATAATTCATTGGCAAATATGTGTTTGATGGGTTAATATTTAAAGTCTTTCCAAAAATCTATTGTAAAGCAGTGTGATAATTAAGTTTCTAAGTAAGAAGTGAAATGTAAGCATTTTGAAATTATTTCTTTTTTTGTAAATCATGATTTTATAAACTATTATGTCAAAAACAACTTCCCTTTTTGGGATAAGAACTCTTTTGTCAAATGGTACTAAATTTGGCAAATTACCAACATTTTAGCAATTTTAAGACCTATTCTGTGCAAAATTTTTTATTTGTACATTTGTGAATTTTTCGGCAATTTGTTTGTAACAAATGCAATAATGGATAAATATTAATGTTAATATATTAAAATTACATTTAAGAAATGATATTAAAATAAAACATTCTTGTTTTCCCGTCATATTATTAAGTGTTAATGGTGTTAGTTCTCGTCATATTATTAATGGGATAAATATCATTAAAATAACAATAATATATTAAATTTTTTTTAAAATATTAAAATAACTCATTCTTGTTTTCCTGTCATATTATTAAGTGACATTACTTTTTATTTTGGTGATTTTGAAATATTTCTAGTCTGAAAAATAAACAGCATAATAAATGCTTCCGAAAATTTTCTTAGCGAAAACAAAAATTGTGATTATTGTAAAATTAATATCATTTGTCTTCATTTATATTTTTTCATGCAAGAGTTTTATCAATTGTCTCAGAATATTCAAATATATATCAGTATTCTCTGTAAAATTCACTTTACGCTTTTCTTCTGCAATTTTTTTTAACTCCCCTTTTTTTACAGAATTAGTAGGGATAATTTTTCTTTTGGATTTTAGACTTTTACTTTAGAAGTTAGGTGGATTCAAAGGCAAGATTTATTAACCTAAGATTCCTGAATAATGTGATGAAATGAAAAATATCCTCATGGTATTAACATGTAATGGACGTATTTTACAGGAAGTTTGTGATAAATTTCAGATCTTTCGGGTAATTTTTTGAAGAACAATGAAAACATAATTATTTGAATTTTCCGCCTTTCTACCCTAGAAGTCTTTCTTAATGCATTTATCTCTCGTTTATTTTCTTTTTTTCTAGACACAATCCTGGAAAAGTTCTAAAAGGTTTCTAATCTTGTAACATGACAAGCATGTATAGAAGGGAATTTTTCTATTAATAAAGAAACTGAAAACTGACAGCTTAAAAGAGTTATCATAATGTCTTAATACATCATGCATAAAGCAAGCACAAGTCATTTTACCTCTGTGCTAAATTCTGCTGCCCAGTGCCTGTCCTAAGGCACCTTATCATCCCTGGCACTTCAGCAGCTTATAAGAACCTTGCAGTATATTAACTGGGGTATAACTGCAACAACTATGTGCAATGCTTTGACACTGAGTCAGATGGAAAAAGTTTTTAACATCTGCCAACCATACCATTGTCAAATGTTCAGGTCTGTTCTGACCAGTGGGTTTTTATCTCTAGGCAAGCAGCAGCAGTGGCAACAACCAAGCTTCTGTTATGAATCATGTTGATTACGATTTTTGATTCCTCATTATTTTAACCTATGGCCGCTTGACATAAAATCTGTGTGCTATTTATAAAACCTCTGGACTGTGCAAGTACATGATGAAATGAGGCATAAAAGAAAGAACGAATATAAATGTTAGTAAATCAAATTCCATTAATCTTCTACGAGGGAAATTTAAATGTTTCAAGAAATTTTGTGATTAAATGCTAATTGGTAAGTTTTGCAGAGTTGATTTTATCCTCGAGTTTGTTTTATAATTAATTATATTTAATAATAGTGTGTCCCGCTTACAGATCTGTTTTATTCTTAGATTGGTAATATAAAAGTGAAGTTTGCGCATGGATAATTGCTTTAATATATTCAGTTTTAATCTGCTTATTGGTCCTTATATTTTTTCATTGATGATCCTTAAAAGTAATTAATTTACATGTGCAGAAATGTATACGAACCTTGAGACACAGTTGAAAAGAATTTCTATGTTAATTTAACACAGTTGTTCGTTATTTAAAAGGTTTGTATTTCCAGAGGAGGTATATTGTTAAATACAAGTCACTTCCAAAATTTAAAAGAAGATTTTAATGTACATTTCCAAGACATTAAAAATATGTATTCATAGAGCTGTTGAAACTATGCTATATCTGATCGTGGTATTATCATACAAGGAGAATTGATTGAACTGAAGGAGGATGTTCATGCACAATTCTTATTCAAAACACATGAGGATGCCAGTGTTTGAATTTAAGTCTTTAGCCAAACTCCAAGGCTTTTGTAAACTGAGGCTGATCAGTCACTTGAAAAGAATAATCCTGACTCGCATTTAAAAAAAAAAAAATTTTTTTTTTTTTTTTAATTCTTCAGTATTATTTAAACACCATTTGTGTAGCTTCATTCCACTATGCTCTAGAAGGTAGATTGACTGTGTCCATAACTCCCTGTTTCTTGTAATGTATTAGTTCCATTGATAAGCCATACATGTAACCGCACTTCATTATAGTCTTTGAGGCACAGGGAAATTCAGTCACTTCCTCTATTGCTGATTCAGGACCTTTCTCTCAAGGAATGGCACACCTCATTGTTCCTTATGAATACAGTCTTCAAATGATAAGTCTGCACAGTGTTGCCTATCCATTCTTTCCATAAAATTATTGCAGGTTTCTTTGGTTCAGTAAGTATTTATGTAATCATTTGTACATCAGCGCCTAATGCATAGTTATACTTCCAAAATCTTATAATAGATATTGAATTAAGTGATTTTCCATTAGTAGTAGCTGCTGATGCATTAAGCACAACACGAAGCTTGATAGAGGTTTTCTCCAGATAATAAACTCTGTAATGACTGAGATAACTTCAGGTCGATGATTCAATTTCTTGAACTTCCATGTGATTGAAATCCTTATATTCTTTGATAAAATTCTTACACAAGGTTTTCATATTCAAATCGCTTGCTAGTTGATTCCACATTTGACGCAATCTTTACTCAGCAAACATTTTTGATTCTTCCAGTTCCATTCCTTCCCAAATGGATAA